CAAAAGTATCTTTTAAATCCAAATATGAACCAGTTCCTAATAACAACCTAAAGTGTCCAATTGCTTCTGCATCTACCGATTGTCCGCCGCCTACAAAGATGTGTCTTTCAATATTACTTAGCTTTCGGTAGCTTAGACAACCCTGTATAGAAATACTTATGTGAGTAATAGCACCAGAGTCTAACCACCAAATGTTTCTAGATACTGAAACTAAATTAACCTCAGAACAGATCAAAATAAGGAACATACCCTTATTAGCATGCGAAGCGTGATATTTGGTATAATCCTTCTTTACGTATCCATGCTTGTTACAAAAGAAACAATCCTGATTATTCTTATGTTGTTTTTTCTGAACTGGATCCTTAACAGCTTCATTATCATTTTTTTTTTCTTGCTCTTATCCTTCGAGGTATAAGTCAAATGAGCACTTTCAGTCTTATCTTGCTTTAACCTGTCTTCTTCTTGCACACAGTACGAAATGAGCTTATTTAGAGTCTATTTCTCTTTTTGACAGTTATAACTGACTAAACTGTGCAAAAAGAAAAAACAAAACCAGATGCATCAATAAACTCATCATAAAGATCGAGTTTAAGTGTCTTAAGTTTTGAAGCAATATTAGATATTTCCATAATGTACTCCCTGATATTTTCTTTACCCTTATACTTTATCAAAATCAAACGAGCTAAAAGCGTGCTTGTGTCTACCATATCGTTTTTCGTAAAATGCTTTTCAATTTTAGTAAGGAAATCTTTAGCCTTAGTAATCCCTTCAGATTATATGTCCCTGAAGGCTTCCGGAACGTCGCACTTAATAATCATTAGACTCATGCGATTTGAACACTCTCACTTTTCATACTCCTTTGCATCAGGAGCAAGGTTTTAAATATCGGTTATCGGGAATTTATCGGACGACCAAAATTCTTATCGGATAGCGGAAATCGGGGATATATCGGGGATAAGTAGTATTTATCGGAGTGATATACTAGATGGTGTATATATATAATATAATAACTAAAAAATGTAATCTAACCATGCTTAATGAAATATAAACATACCAAATGAAACCATTCGATTGCATAGTCTTACTTATCGGCCGATAATCCCGATAAAAAAACCTTACTTATCGGCCGATAAGTACCGATAACTCCGATAACTCCCCGATAACTTGTCAAAAACGATAACCGATTAAAAATCCAAGTTATCCTATCGGAGAGCTCCCAAATCCGATAACTCGACCGATAATATCGGTTATCGGCCGATATTTAAAACAGTGATCAGGAGTGCTATCCGTATTGAGAGGGTGGGGTTGTTCAGTCCTTAATATAATGTCTAGATCCATGCAGCTAAGAATAATTAAAATGTTCTCTTTTCAAACCTTAAAATTTGTCTCATTAAGCATGAGAATTGAATTGATGTTAGCAAAAATTATTGCAGCAAATGCATGAGCTAAAATAAATAAAAGATTTTCACATCATTAACGATAATTAGTAATCAATAAAATTCAGATAATGATAAATCTCATCTCAAGATATTTGGCACAACATTAATATCAAGTCTTTGGATAATAATATTAATTACAAGTGATATCTTGTTGCAATGATCGAAAACTGACATTAACTCATGTCAAATAATGAAACTATCTTTAGATCGATTCATTATTCACATGTAAATCTTATAATTGTCACATGTTTATCATCGCAGATGTGTATGCATTCTAAATAAATATTAACCTTTTTTTGGATCGATTAAATATTTACACGAAAACATACATACAACCATCTAACATTCCTCATGAACAATTTACACAAAAGATGTTACTTTTATAACTTCTTGTTTTAATTAATTATTTGGAATGAGAGACAAACTTAATACCTTAGTGTCATATGATTTGAATTAAATAATTAATTAACTACCGAATTTTAATTCAAATTAAACAATTTAATTTAAATTAAACCAAAAAACTAAAATTAATTAGGGAAAATATAACTCAGTTACACTTCCCTATTTAATTATAAAGGCCAATAATTGTAAAGGCCTTCAACTTAATTAAATTCTTTGAGCAATTCAAATAATTAATAACTTAATTATTAAAGGCCTATAACTTAATAACTTAAGTGGGCTCTAGCCTAAAGGAAAAAATCCCTTTATTTTCTTCTCAACCGCAAGCCAATCCAAAGCTTGCCCAAAGTCGAAACTCAAATTCGCTTGAAGCTTTCGACGAAGCTCGCCTAAAATTTCGAAATGAGCCGACGAAGCTCAAGCTCACCTTCGAAAGCTCGCCTGTAATGAGCATCGACCTCGCTTGATTCGAGCCGAAGCTCACCTAAAGTTCGAGACCGAGCTCGCCTGTAATCGAGCTCGAAGTTTGCCTGAGCAGAGTGTCGAGCTCGCCTTCAATTGGGGCTCGAGCTCGCCTGAGTCACAAGCTCGCCTGAAGAGAAGATCCATCTCGCCTGCAGAAGTTGCTGACGAGGGTTCGTCTGAATGATCTTCGAGCTCGTCTGGAGGGCTCGCCTGCGATTGAGGTAATCGTCGCTGCCCTAACTCCCTTCACCCCTTAGGGTTTCATAATTGAACCGTCGCCGTCGCTTGGGCTGCTGCAACCTAGGGTATCGAAAACCTTAGGTTCCTGACCGCTGATGGTCGCCACCACCGTCGTTTAAGCTCCTGCACCGTAGGGTTAAAACCCTAGGGTTCCTGATTACCACCGCCGCTGTCTTCATTTGACAGCGGGGCTGCCAGCGAACATCGCCGGTGAGGAGCTAAGAGAACGACGGCCAAAAGCAATTTTCTTTTGCTGTCAATTTTGAACTTGAATTCATGAATGTTTTGTAATTGATCTTAATACATGAAAGTATCCAAATCAAACAAAACAACATAATTGAACATAAAAATTACATGATACTGTTCATGCAATCAATAGACCAAGATCGACAGAAAAAAACAAGAAAGCAAAATAAATAAAAAATTCTACTGTTCATACGAGTAACAGTCCTCAAAAACACAGATTAAGATCAAACAATCATAATTTTAATCTTAAACTCTAAGAACAAATCACGGTGGCTCAGATACCACTTGTTGGACTTTTAACCGTGATTAATTCAAAGAGAAATACTATCAAGAACGCAGAAGCATACCTGAATCCATCTGAATTTGCACGGATCTTAATCTTGGGTTTAAGATCTTCTAATATAGAGGTGTCTCTCTTGAGTTTCTCTCTTAGATGGAGGTGAAGAGAATGAGAATCTTAACCCTTAAATTAAGGACCATAATCCCTATATATAGACTTGTAGTTTTCTAATTTATCCCCTTATTAAATTAGAATTGCAATCTGGTATCTGCGCAATTAGCCCATGACATATTTAATACTCATTTACCCAATTACCTGATTGATCACTTTATACGGGTCAACTGCAATGACAGCAACACACTGATGTAACATATGTGACTATAAATAGATTTAATTAGATTTAAATCCAACACTAAGATCTAACGGGTACAACTACTACAACATATATGGATTTATTGACGATAGATCTTGAATACACTAAGAGCATTGTGAATCAAAACCATGTCCTGTCCTGGTGAAAAGATCGCCTGAGCAGAGTGTCGAGCTCGCCTACAATTGGGGCTCGAGCTCGCCTGAGTCACAAGCTCGCCTGAAGAGAAGATCCATCTCGCCTGCAGAAGTTGCTGACGAGGGTTCGTCTGAATGATCTTCGAGCTCGTCTGGAGGGCTCGCCTGCGATTGAGGTAATCGTCGCTGCCCTAACTCCCTTCACCCCTTAGGGTTTCATAATTGAACCGTCGCCGTCGCTTGGGCTGCTGCAACCTAGGGTATCGAAAACCTTAGGTTCCTGACCGCTGATGGTCGCCACCACCGTCGTTTAAGCTCCTGCACCGTAGGGTTAAAACCCTAGGGTTCCTGATTACCACCGCCGCTGTCTTCATTTGACAGCGGGGCTGCCAGCGAACATCGCCGGTGAGGAGCTAAGAGAACGACGGCCAAAAGCAATTTTCTTTTGCTGTCAATTTTGAACTTGAATTCATGAATGTTTTGTAATTGATCTTAATACATGAAAGTATCCAAATCAAACAAAACAACATAATTGAACATAAAAATTACATGATACTGTTCATGCAATCAATAGACCAAGATCGACAGAAAAAAACAAGAAAGCAAAATAAATAAAAAATTCTACTGTTCATACGAGTAACAGTCCTCAAAAACACAGATTAAGATCAAACAATCATAATTTTAATCTTAAACTCTAAGAACAAATCACGGTGGCTCAGATACCACTTGTTGGACTTTTAACCGTGATTAATTCAAAGAGAAATACTATCAAGAACGCAGAAGCATACCTGAATCCATCTGAATTTGCACGGATCTTAATCTTGGGTTTAAGATCTTCTAATATAGAGGTGTCTCTCTTGAGTTTCTCTCTTAGATGGAGGTGAAGAGAATGAGAATCTTAACCCTTAAATTAAGGACCATAATCCCTATATATAGACTTGTAGTTTTCTAATTTATCCCCTTATTAAATTAGAATTGCAATCTGGTATCTGCGCAATTAGCCCATGACATATTTAATACTCATTTACCCAATTACCTGATTGATCACTTTATACGGGTCAACTGCAATGACAGCAACACACTGATGTAACATATGTGACTATAAATAGATTTAATTAGATTTAAATCCAACACTAAGATCTAACGGGTACAACTACTACAACATATATGGATTTATTGACGATAGATCTTGAATACACTAAGAGCATTGTGAATCAAAACCATGTCCTGTCCTGGTGAAAAGATCCATGTCCTAATCAAGGACAAAAAGCATATAAATCCTGTTGGATTTTATTCACTTTTGCTCCCAGAAGACACTAATCTTTTGTTTTTAGAATGCGAATTCCAACCGATCAAAATAAAGAGCATAAACAACAAGGGAAAGGAAAGGAAAGGAAAGTTGAAGGGTAAGAAATGGGAGTTACCTGATGAAAAAGCGGCGGCGGAGCAGGAACAGCGGAAGGTGGTTGCAGAAGAAAGCAGCGAGTAGCCCTTTTCCGCGCGACGACGACGAGGAGGAGGAGGAGGAGGAGGAGATAAGGCGCTGAGGTTTCTGTTCCTCTTTATATTAGTATCGCTATTAAAGAGAGTATGTGGGAATAGGATCGAGGAGAAATGAGTGATGAGGGGAGTTGGAGGAGGGATTGAAAAAAAAGAAATGCTCATGGTACAGCCACCCCACCCAACGCGATTCGTTTACCGTCTTTTTCTTTTCTTTTCTTTTCCCATTTTTTCCAATTTTTTCCCCTTTTCTTATAGATTATTTAGACATTAGTCCCTCACTTGTTCAATTATTTAACACTTGCCCCTCAAACCTTTGAAACTGATCATAAATCCCTCAAATCCTATGGAGTCTTGTTGCAACATGGTCTCCAAATCACCTAAATATCCGTCGGTCTATGCTCCTCCAAAACCCCTTTTGTTCATAAAAACACAAGCTAAGAAGTATTTTGTTCATTGATGAGCGTCGATTGATCGGAAAATTCATATTTACCTTGGATGGTGTTGTAGTTTTTGATTGTTGTCTTCTGAAAATTCAAAAAGAAGACAACGAGCACAATCATCTATGTAGTCATAGTTTTAGGTTGTGCCTTCTGTAAAAGATGATGCGGAGTGGTGAGCAATCTCCTAAGAGATTTTCCATTGAATGAGCTACATGGAGAAGCTATCACTATTTACCATGATACCCAAACAATGAGTGTTTTGGCGATCTAACTCGTTATTCAATTAAAAAAAGCATTTATTCATGCTTGAAGCATGATTATTTGAAGGAGTAGTCCGAATAACGCTCTAAAGCCTCACGAAACACCCCAAAATTTAGAGAGAATGCTTCCAAATTAGTTATTTGCCATTTACAGCCAACTTGCCCCTCCATCTCAAATGGCAGTTTTCTCTATCGAAGATATTTTTAATATGGAATCTGATGAGCAAAAGTTGAAGTTTAGGGAGATTTTGGAGACATCCAAAGTTCAAGAGGGTTTGTGACATAAAATAAGTGCAGAGGGCTTATGTGAAAAGCCCCCAAATCTTGTGAAGTTAACCTAATAAAAAACATTGCAAATGAGTACCCTAAATCTTGATTTAGTATATGCTCTAAAGTGGGGTTAGGTGTTCGGTTGGTCGGCTCGGTTTTGTGCAAAAGTAAACATACTGAAACCGCATCCAATGATTATTGCAACCAAACCTCATCGATGAAATTCTGTTCGGTGCCCATGTCTGTTTCATCGGTTGTGGCGGTGAGCTGGGTAGTAACGCTTTGATAAAACACCATTGCTGAAAAATCATTTGCTCTCTGATTTTGTCAAACTAGCTAAAATATGTTAGCAAATAATAGGGCACACACGGCTCAGTACTCATACCAATAGCTCAAGAAACTCTCAATCATCAGAGAAGCATCACGCGTAATAAATGAAGTGGATACTAAGTAAAAAGTGCCGTTCAATGTTTTCAACCTATCATCATATTAATTTGTTAATGAGCCCCCTCAGAGATGAAAGCTTTATGGTCTGCAATCATCAAGTTATAACTAAATGCTAAACTGAAGTCACACTAATCTAAATTTAAAATCACACTTGTATGAAGATAGATTTTTCATACTTTTATTGATAAAAGCAATGAACTTGTTTATTAGGAAACAAAAGATTCATATTATCTTCAATTGCTAACGGTAGAAGAAGTACATACGTCCACCTCCATCTACGGCGCTGAGTCCGAAGTCAAAGACGGAAGGTGAAAGGATTGTCCGAAGTCAAAGACGGAAGGTGAAAGGAAATTTCTTGGTCTGACACTGGCTTGGTCTTGGTTTTGGTCGGAATTTGAATCTAAAGTTGAATGATTGAAGATGATGACTTGATGAGTACGCCGCAAGTGGAAATAGCAGAGCAGAAAGAGGAGGACTTCTAGGATTTTTTTTTTTCTTTTTAATCCTCAAATGTTGATTTATTCCAATTTCCAATTAATTACATATTCCAATTCAGAATTATCAATTATATTGTGAAAGTAAGAGCACGTTTAATTAAACGTGACTTACGTTCGTGATTGAGTAATCAGTTTCAGCTTTGATTAATTGCATACGAAGGTATATATAGCAGTTCGGTTAGAGCCAAACCAACAGATCGTACTACGGTCGGTTGCGGGCAGTTCGGGTTGAGTTTTGTTCAACCCGGCCTGAACATAAATATATTCAGAACCAAAAGCTTGCGTTTTAATTAAGTAAAATTATAGTATGTTCTAACGAGAAACTATCTCATATGATTAGAGGATAACAGTTCATAGCATGAACAAATTGTTAGACTTTGTGATTCCAGTTTTTTAAATTTTTATATATAATAAGGGAATATATATATGAATGTAATTGGAAATTTATTTTTTAATAGATAATTATAGCAATATAAGTTTTTTTTTCTCACTGTAATAGTTTTTACAATTCCATGTATTCCAGACTTCATATTTGTTCTCATCCTCCAATGATCATCATTAAATAGCACTTAAATATCTTATAGTTTACATGACTTTGCTCATATAGCTTATCTTTTTAGGGAAAAATGTGTTCAGGCCCCAAAAGCAGAAACTTCATGTGACAAGGCCCCTTATAATTTTTCCTATGTGGATCAGCCCCTTGAAGTGTGACACTTTGTACTGCAGCCCCTTTTTATCAATTATCATATGCCAGCTAAGCTAAAATTTCCAAACTATCCTTATCCTCGATCTCTCCTCAATCTCTCTGACCCAGCACTCACATCATCTCTCTCTCTCATCTCCTCTCTCTCTCTCTCTTCTCTGACCCAGCACTCACATCATCTCTCTCTCTCATCTCCTCTCTCTCTCTCTCTCTCTCTCTCTCTCATCTCCTCTCTCTCTCTCATCTCCTCTCTCTCTCTTATCCTCTCTCCTCAATCTCTCTGACCCAGCACTCACATCATCTCTCTCTCTCTCATCTCCTCCCTCTCTCTCTCTCTCTCTCTCTCACCTCTCTCTAAAACTAAGAGCTTTCTCAAGCTCGTCGTCCTGGCCGAGACGCACAGAGCATTAATCTAGTAGCTAGAAGAAGAAAAGAAAAAAAAAGAAAAAAAAGGTAAGGAGAAGTAGAGTAGAAGGGGAATGAAGAGAAATGTCGTAATTAAGAAAGAACGAAAATGTGTATTAATGTCTCTCTATGAATGAAATTACAACGGTGCCGTCGAGCGGTATTCGAAGCAATATAACGAGAGGTAGAAAATGAGCCCAAATGAAAGTAAGATACCGTGTGATAGACAATATAAAGGGCTACACACCGGCGCAGACGGTAGTGAAAACGGAGACCGGAGGTGGCCGTAAAACACGCAATTGCTAGTTCTTTATTCTACGTTCTTTATTTTACATGCACAATTGCTAGTTCTTTATTCTACGTTAGTTCTAGCTTCTATTCTCCTAGTTCTAGCTTATATACCCCCAGTTCTAGCTTCTATCTTGCTAGTTCTAAACCCAACAAGGGTTTTTTACATGCACAATTGCTAGTTCTTTATTCTACGTTAGTTCTAGCTTCTATTCCCCTAGTTCTAGCTTGTACATGCACAATTGCTAGTTCTTTATTCTACGTTAGTTATAGCTTCTATTCTCCTAGTTCTAGCTTATATACCCCCAGTTCTAGCTTCTATCTTGTTAGTTCTAAACCCAACAATGATTTTTTACATGCACAATTGCTAGTTCTTTATTCTACGTTAGTTCTAGCTTCTATTCCCCTAGTTCTAGCTTGTACATGCACAATTGCTAGTTCTTTATTCTACGTTAGTTCTAGCTTCTATTCTCCTAGTTCTAGCTTATATACCCCTAGTTCTAGCTTCTATCTTGCTAGTTCTAAACCCAACAAGGGTTTTTTACATGCACAATTGCTAATTCTTTATTCTACGTTAGTTCTAGCTTCTATTCCCCTAGTTCTAGCTTGTATACCCCCAGTTCTAGCTTCTATCTTGCTAGTTCTAAACCCAACAAGGGTTTTTTACATGCACACTTGCTAGTTCTTTATTCTACGTTAGCTCTAGCTTCTATTCCCCTAGTTCTAGCTTGTATACCCCCAGTTCTAGCTTCTATCTTGCTAGTTCTAGCTAGTTCTAGTTCTAATTCATCTTAGTTCTAGGCTCTTGGGAACGGAGAAAAGCTCCTTCTACCTCCGACGGAGCCCACCGAGACACCCCGACGACCCCGGCAACCTCCTCCCACCTCCGGTAAGCTCGGACAGCGGCGAAAATCTCCGAACAGCGAAGAATAAACCCGAACGGCGAGAAATTGCACTGCAGAAAACTATAGTTTTATGCCGACTTCGCACGTACTTTCTGATCGCCTCCAATCTCCGTTTCCACCGATTTCTTCTTAGGTGAGTAGCCCTACATGTTGCCTATCTCCTCCAATTTGTATCACGCTCTAACTCATTCTCTATCTCTCTCGGTAACATCCGAAACATCGCTCGACGGCAGCAGCGAGCAGAAAACAGCAGCGCCGTGCCGACTTCGCGCGTGTTTTACGGCCACCTCCGGTCTCCGTTTTCACTACCGTCTGCGCCGGTGTGTAGCCCTTTATATTGTCTATCACACGGTATCTTACTTTCATTTGGGCTCATTTTCTACCTCTTGTTATATTGCTTCGAATATCGCTCGACGGCACCGTGGCAATTTCATTCATAGAGAGACATTAATACACATTTTCGTTCTTTCTTAATTACGGCATTTCTCTTTATTCCCCTTCTACTCTACTTCTCCTTACCTTTCTTTTTTCTTTTTTTTTCTTTTTTTCTTTTTTTTTCTTTTCTTCTTCTAGCTAATAGATTAATGCTCTGTGCGTCTCGACCAGGACGATGAGCTTGAGAAAGCTCTTAGTTTTAAAGAGAGGTGAGAGAGAGAGGAGATGAGAGAGAGAGAGAGAGAGAGAGAGAGAGGAGAGGAGAGAGAGAGAGATGATGTGAGTGCTGGGTCAGAGAGATTGAGGAGAGAGGATAAGAGAGAGAGGAGATGAGAGAGAGAGAGAGAGAGAGAGAGAGAGAGAGAGAGGAGATGAGAGAGAAAGAGAGAGAGAGAGAGAGAGAGAGAGAGAGAGAGGAGATGAGAGAGAGAGATGATGTGAGTGCTGAGTCAGAGAGATTGAGGAGAGAGGATAAGGATAGTTTGGGAATTTTAGCTTAGCTGACATATGATAATTGATAAAAAGGGGCTGCAG